CACACAGAGACAGACAGGGAAGGGATAACACCAGGGACCTGGCCAAGGACGTAACAAACGCTTTATGTTCTGTCAAAGTTAAACAATCTGCTTCATATTGAGCTGGTTTAGTAGAAAATTAACATTAAAGAAATTTTTTTGTGTGGTTTCAGAGTCGATAGCATGCGGTATGGTCCCCATCCTGCAGGGAGAAAACAAAGCCAAGCAGCTCGACTCTCGAGCTCGAATCGTTGGGGGAACAGAGTGCCCCAAAGGTCAATGCCCCTGGCAGGTATGCTAAAGTTAAAGCGACAGTTCCACCTTGAGATTTGGTTATCAGGACACATCAGAGAGTCCTTCAATTATTTTACTGGACTCTGACCTCTAACATTTTGCCAAAACCAGATTCTGATTGAAATCTCAAAGTTCCCGAAGATAACAAATTTGTTGTTGTTTGTTCTTAGTCATAAGTATTTGAAGATCCAACTTAAATTGGATTAAAAAATTATTGTCTTAGTGGAGAAGTAAAAACAAATGTTGTTGTTTTACATTAAAGGTTTTGCTGGTGTATAAAGGCAAAGGTTTCTGTGGAGGAGTGATTTATAAGCCCACATGGATCCTCACAGCATCTCACTGCCTGGAGAAAACTGAGGCTCAGTTCCTGAAGGTGGTTGCAGGTACGGATCCCTGTGCAAGCAAGAAGTTTTTAAATAAAGAGAAATTTACTTTGTTTCGCTGGAACATTTTCAAGTTGCACAGTCGTGTTTACACGAGATAATTAGTGTCTGTTTGGGTTGACCTTCCTCACCTCGGTACCTTAGAGCTCTTGTCTCTGTTCACCCTGCTCTTTGTCTGTCAGGCGAGCACAACACACTGCTGAACGAGGGCACGGAGCAGCTCATCCAGGTTTCTGAGATCATCATGCACCAGAACTACGTGACAAGCACTGCCGACAACGACATCGCCCTCCTGCGCCTGGCGTCGCCCATCGTCTACACGCCGTACGCCGTCCCAGCCTGCCTGCCGACGCGATCGCTGGCAGAGCGCGAGCTCTGGGCTGTGAGCATGCACACGGTGAGCGGCTGGGGGAGGCGGGGGGAGAACGGACCCACCTCACAGCTCCTGCGGCGGCTGAAGGTACCACGGATCCGGACGCAGCAGTGTGTGGAGGAGAGCGGCGTGGTGCTCACTAAGAACATGTTCTGCGCCGGATACATCGAGGGCCAGCAGGACTCGTGTAAAGGCGACAGCGGCGGGCCCCTGGTGACAGAGTACAAGAAGACGGTGTTCCTGCTGGGCATCGTCAGCTGGGGGAAGGGCTGCGCCCAACCGGGCAACTACGGCATCTACACCCGAGTGTCCAACTACCTGGAGTGGATCCACAACGGAACAGCGACGCCAAATCAGCCGACGAACAACACTCAGTCTTCGTTACACAACCTGACGACCTGAGAGTTCACGCCCAGGGCATATCAGCACACATCCACAGCACTGTGGTTTTTATGTTTTAATCTACTGTAGTGAAACAGCGGCCACAATGGAAGAGGAAGACTGTCGATTTAACTGATGTAGGCCCATTAGAGGATAAAGTACATTTGGACACAACCATAAATATATTTATGGGATGTATACATATACTGCTTTAACACACTAGTAAGGATATTAGACTGTGAACAGTTAGTCAAACAGACCCTGGAGCTTGGAGCTTGTGTTAGTGTTGCATTATGGGTGATGGGAAAGATTTCCAGTGTCTGTTGTGTGAGGGTTAATAAGTCTTTTGCGTTGACCATAAAATTTAGATTTACTTACCATGAAAGTGAGACTTTGGCATGAGGCTTTGATTGTCCTTAGTAGGATATATAAATTAGTTTCCTAACCTGGAGATTCAAAACTAGTGATTACTGTTATTGTCTTATGGCATGTGGCATAATGTAATAGTGAACATCTGCTTAAATATTGGAGACACGTTGAGGTGTCTTCAAATGGAAAAGTATCTAAACTGCACGTCAGTCAAACTGTAATTTGGATTTTGGTTCTTAATGTGTGCGTTGTAAATTTTTGTATGAATAAAACAGGTGAAACTTGATGCTGTCTGTCAGGTCCAGTTATTTATTACTTTGTTCCGATGATCAATTAATAATTTAAGCGTTTCATGAACCATAGAACTAAACCAGGAATAAAGCAGATTTATTTCTATGTCCATAATCAGTGAAGATCATTTATTTCACTGGTGAATATAGAAATGGTACGGCTCCCTGTGTGTTTCAAGACTATTTGCTCATTTTGCAACTACGTAAATGCTGGTGTGTGTGTGTGTTGCATGATTTCATCACTCATGTACACAATATCTTCAAACAGTCCACAGAGAGTAACGTCTACTGTTCAGCGCTGGAATGTTTCACAGTACATTTACTCCAGGACTGTATTTGATTGAAGTCCAACTGAGGTATTTCCACTTTATGCAACTTAACACTTCCAAGAGTATAACATAAAAACCACCACTTTGATTAAACCAGTGGTTCCCAGCCCTTTTGACTTGGGATATTATGATCAGAACTAATCATCTCACGACCCCTCAGACTTATCTGGTGACCCTTTGAAGGGGCCGACCCTGGGTTGGGAACCGCTGGTCTAAACTATCTGACCGTGTATAAAGTAGTTAAACTAGAGTGGAGATGTGAAGGAAACAGAAAGTATGAGTGGAACAGTCGACCTCTTCAGGTTTGTTTACTGACCTGATTAAGAGTGTTTCAGTGGGGGTCGGACGCCGTGGTGGGCGTGGACTAGAAATGTCCCTCCTGTCCTAAAAGTCCTTCTTTGTCGTTGTTTTTCTGACACCCTGAACACATCATGTTGCTGAGGAGCTGCTGCACCGTCTGGATTCTGCTTTCAGGCATCGCTGCTGCTGCAGGTCTGTTTAATTTGGTAAAAATAACTCATGTTAGCTTGTTAGCTTGTCAAACATCACAGTTAAATAAAGAAATAACCAACAAAATAAGTATTTAAAGAGCTTATCCTGACTTTGTGCTGCAGCTTCTCCCAGGACAAAGTAGAATCTAAAGTTTCTAATCTGAAGTTTTTTCACCCTCATGTGTGGATTATTGCACAAACCTGACAAACTGGAACAGATCTCAGTATTTTATCAATTGTTTCAGTGTTCGTAGAGAAGCATGAAGCCAACAGACTCCTGCAGAGATGGCGGCGAGCGAACAGCGGCTTCCTGGAGGAGATGCAACAAGGAAACCTGGAGAGGGAATGCATTGAGGAGACGTGCGACTACGAGGAGGCTCGAGAAGTTTTGAAGACGACGGCAAGACGGTCAGCCACAGTTTGAATTTGAACCACTGTTAAACACTGGAAAACTATTTTTTGGGTGTTTTCCCATCGCTGACGTCTCTAAACTGTAGATTATATATATAGATAAACTATAGACAACATGAGTTCTGCTAAAAAGCATCTTTTGTTCTTGAAAGTGACTTTATTTTTGTCAGATATCTCAGGTTCAGGAGTGCATCACTAAAAGTAAAACGTCTCTCTTTCTCTGTTAGCATAGCATAAATTGCAAATCCATTAACATTAGTTTTTAGTTTAGTTTAGAGCAAATAACCATTTTGGATTAGTAAATATTTAGAAGTTAAAATAAAGTACTGCATATACCCTTTCTCAGTTTGGAGTAGAAATGTGAGTTTGAAGACAACACAACGTTTGTATTTCAAGCCCAAAGAGCAAACTACCAATAATCGATGTCTAAATTTGGACCACTGGCTGACTGGCTGTGCAGTAATGCACTTCACTTCACACCTTGCTTAACGTGTTCATGTGTTCATGTGTGTTGTTAGCACGTTAGCATCCACGCTCAACAGAACTTTATGCCGTCTGACAGGTGATTTAGGTGAGTTTTTGGATAACAAACGGACACAAAGAAATGAAAATGTTAAACGATTCCCTTTAAATGAGACCTGATTATTGTGAATAATAAACGGGACAGAAATGTAGAATGAAACAGTTATTCATGTTTATGTGTTTGCTCCTTTGCAGAGGCAGTTCTGGCTGACATATGATCGTGAGTGACGCCTTTAATTCTGTCCAGTATTATTTTTGTCACTATTTTCACAACTTCTGAGTGATATTTGGTAGTTTGTCCATATTGTTAATTGTAAAAACTTCAATGTTAGTTTAAATCACTGCAGCGTTTCCAATATTTACTCGTTGCTAAACTGTTGGGAGTTATTTAGGAACATTTTCATATTTGGCACTTCGCTTATATTTCTGCACTGATCCCTGAGGAATCACAGAAATAGGACACCATTTCTTTCAAATTTAAATAAAACTACTGTACAATAGGAAACAGAATTGATAGCTGCCATCTTTGTTGTGGTCCAGGTATAAACACACGCTTTATGAAATGGGTTAAAGTTCAGTTTTAATACTTTGATGTTCAATTTGATGTCAAATATAAGAACACGGATGACGCAAGAGGCAAAATAACTTTGTGTGTCTTTTCTTACGGCATTTTACCTGTGATCACTATTGATTTGTTTTGATAATTCAGATATTGATTCATCATTTAACAGTTTGAACCCTGTGATCAGGTCTTATGATCCTCTGTCCTCTGTTGTCTGTACGACAAACATCAAAACGTTTTACAGTGTAACTTGATTGTATTACATCTTAAGCATTAAACATTTTGTATCTTCTGCACTTATAATGACATACACAAAATGATTAAACATATGATAATATCAGCAAAATGGTTCTCTGTCTTTTAAAAAAGTGTTTTGATTGATTTTTTATCAGGTCGTGAGCCCTGCCTGGTCAACCCATGTCAGAACAACGGCACATGTGTTTACTTAGAGACTTCCTACCAGTGTTTCTGTCCTGACGGGTTTTGGGGACAATACTGTCAGACAGGTAAATAAGATTAAATAATTGTTGCATTATTATTTAAGAGACTTTATTGATCCCTGCGGAGATTTCAAAAGCTATTGAGCAACTTAAGTAAGATGTTTTGATTTAAGGACTTTTACACTGTGGTATTTTTATTAAGAAAAAGACCTGACGACTTGTTCCACTGAATGTTTATGATTTAATAACTTATTGTACATTATATTTGAATAATGTAACCTTTACTTTCCTCAGCGGTGGAGGACTTACTGAAGTGTCTTTACCAGAACGGACAATGTGAGCATTTCTGTGACGGCTCGGGAGAGAGTCTCAAATGTTCCTGCGCTGACGGATATAATCTGGGAGTCGACGGACGAAAGTGTATCGCTCAAGGTACAAATACGACATGAATACTACTTCTTTACAGTACTGATGTACATGCATTTATTGAGATAAGACATTGTGCGAGTACTGTGATTACCCTGCCTATTCAAGTCACTTCTCATCAACAGGAGGCTTTTTCTGTAAATAGGCCTGAAACTAACAAGTATTTGTTAGATTAATCTGATTATTGTTAATAAAAGTCCAAGTTAGTGTCTACAGATTGTTTTATTTAACCAACAGTCCAAAAACCCCAAAGATATCCAGTTTATTATCATAATAGTTCCAATAAAACCAGGTAGTGATCTTGTTTTGGCATTTAAACTATAACATTGTGATCAATTCATTCACTGTGAAATTACTTATCAATTAAAGCTGTGATCTTAACATTAGCGATTAAGTAACCAACCAAAATCTGAATTCCCCCCCGGTGGATAAATGTCTGAACAGTGATGCTAACATCGCAGCCACTTGTCTCTACACATTCGCAACGCTAAAAGCGAGTACATCACTAGTTGTTTACAGTGGTGTTTGTGTTACAGTGGAGTATCCGTGTGGTCAGCTGCCTCCACGGGAAACCGGTATGAACCAGAGCGCTGTGGGTCAGATCAGGCTGGTGGGAGCTAACCACTGTCCCAGAGGAGGTGTCCCTGGCAGGTAAACACCGCTGTACCTCCAAGTTTGTCCTGAGGGTGCAGGAACCATCATGGGGACATCAAAATCTAAAGGTTTCATCCTCTGGGGAGCAGCAATGGGATCGAGACATTTCACGCAAATATATCCGAAATTTTGTTAAATGTTGTCCTGTTGGTGTAACAACATTCCCACTAACTCGTCACATATGGACGCTTGGTCAAGACCCCTCGGCGTCGCTGTTTAACACCCTGGGGAGCCCGTTTTTCTACGTGTTGGGCGATCAAGTTAGCAACGATAAATATGCAACGTCCAGTTAGACTTTCAAAATAAGACTAATGTGAAACATCGCAATTTGGTTGCTTTTAGGCACCAAAACTACTTGTTAGTTCAAGTTCAAATGTGTTTATATAGCACATTTAAAATCAACCCTAGTTGACCAAAGTGAGTTCAGTGTACGCAACAAATACACACAACAAGTTAGGTTAGGAAAAGACTGAGGGTTACGTTAACTTATGTAAGATAAGTAACGTTAGTAATGCAACCTTTGGAGGTGCAGCGTTTTTTCAAGACGCTGTGGTTGCTATGATACATTATATCCGTGGAGGCTACCTACTGTTACTGAATGTAAAAACGTGACCACAAAGTACGCAGGCCTACGTGCTCTGGACTCGCCGTACGTGGGTCCATGAGAGGGCGAGGAAATAACTCTGTGAGGAGGCACATTGTTTCGTTCCAGAGCTGAGGTGGCTCGGTGCGGTGTTTGTCCCGCCCCTCCTGCTCTGTGATTGGACGGCTGGGTAAAAAGTTACGAGCGCAGTGTTTTCCCAAAGACGAACATTTTTCTACTCCCGACGACTGGAAAAAAACTCTCAGCGTCCAGCGTGGAAAAGACGCTCAGCGCCTCGTCACGCTGCTGCCGTTTTTACCATGTTGGCGCTCCCATTGCAATGAACTGGGTTGATATGATGCTTCTAGCGTCCATTTGTGAGAACGTGTTGTTTAGGCTTTTCCTTTAAGTTGACCTACATAAATTACGCTAAAGGGCTTCCCAGAGCGTTACAAACTGGCGGGTCTCGATCACGCTTCCCAATGTGACGACTTGGGAGTGAGAAAGGGTTGGTCGCTCAAAGAAAACTCAAGGGGTCACATAAATCATCCAGTTTCATCCTCTTGCTCTTAAGTTTGGACCCAACAGGCCGCCCAATATTCCATCAGCTTAATGCCAAATATTTAACACATTTAAAATGATTGATCTATCTGTTGATCAGGTTCTGGTTCAGTTAAACGGAAGCAGTCACTGCGGAGGTGTTCTGATCAATGCGGACTGGGTCGTCACCGCTGCCCACTGTGTCCATGGCATCAACCCTCAGAACCTCGCTGTGGTGGCAGGTAACCAGCCGGTGCTTTCTAACGAGTAAAATCACGTTTCTAATGCCTCGTTTAACGGTTTCTTCCTCCGTCACCAGGGGAACACCACTTGGACGTTGAAGAGGGCACGGAGCAGAGGATTCCCGTTTCCCTGGCGGTCGCCCATGAAGCCTATGTCCCAGCGACGGGTGACAGCGATGTTGCCTTGCTGCAGCTGAGTCGCCCCGTCACCTTGAATCGCCACGCCATCCCCATCTGCCTGCCCATTAAAGACTTTGCCGAGCGGGAGCTCCTGCCGGTCCGCTACCACACCGTGTCCGGCTGGGGCAAGAGGACCGCCGGGGGCAACGCTGTGAAACCCAGCGGCCCGCCCGTTGTCCCAGTCTCCCCCGTCATTCGCAAGTTTCCCGTCCCCATCATCCAGAACTCCCAGTGCTCCCAGAGAGCCCGGTTCAACTTCACCGACAACATGCTGTGTGCCGGATACCTGGAGGGTCAGCGGGAGAGCTGCCGCGGGGACGACGGGAGCCCACTGGTCACGCTTTACGGCTCCACCCACTTCCTGACGGGCGTGGTCGGCTGGGGGCGGGGCTGTTCGTACCCGGGGTATTATGGGGTGTACACCAAGATGGCCAACTTTGTGGACTGGGTAGAGACCACTATGAAAAACCCGCCCACCCTGAAGACAGCCAATGAGAAGAAAGCTGCAGTGACGGCTTTCGACACGTTGGAACAGAAAGTAGTTTAATAAAAGATGATGGAAAGATTTTCTGCTTCAAGTCGTCATGAAACAATATTATGATTGTGATGTCAAAGTGCTTTAAGTTTCCAGTTTCCTTTGTGGGGTAACACCGTTTTGTCATGTTTTATTTAGAGTCCGACCGATATGAGTCCAATACAGATTTTGATATTTGAAGATTTTAAAATCCGATAGCGGATTTATGGGCCGATATTCTTTTCCCCTTTATTTTGAGAAACGGATAACATAAAGATTATCCCTAACATTTGTTATGTTGAGAACTCACCAAGATGTCATGACGTAATGCAGTTAGAAATAGTACTTTGAACAAAAGTACAACAAAATATATTAAAGTTTTGATAATAAGAGTCAAATGTATAAAAATACAGAGAACATTCTTAAAATATCTGATTTATTATAAATAAATAATTAATTAATAAATAATTAAATAGTGTATGTATTGTGGGGGCCAGCAAAACAGAAACTATAAAGAATACCAATATAGTACTACTACTAAAAATAATACCATAAATCATCTCTCATGTCTTTGCTTTCATAATAATGATAAACAGGACTCTCCTTCATATGCAAATCATTATATATATATATATATATATATATAATCATGTCGTCGTAATTATCTTACATGTTATCTGCCACGATGACTACTTTCTACATCTAGTTTATGACCTGCACTCTGTTAATTCTACCCAAAGCTACAGAAAAGATTTCCTAACCACCTTCAGGCTCTATGATACAGTGACGGCCGTGTGCTGAATGGAGCTCGTCAATGTCATTTGTCGTGAACCGACCAATCACAGGCTGGATGTGGCGGGACATTTAAAAATATTGACAGATAGTCGTTTACACTGAGGACGCTGGGGACAAGTCAGAATTTAAAAGAAGTTAAAAATATTCTGATAAACAGCAACAAGAAATGTTAAATAGCAAATGAAACGATGCACAATAAGAAAACATGCAGTGCAACTGAAATATAGAAGAAACAAATTTGCATTGTCCAAAATCTGATTACTGAATTATATTCCATTATATTTGAGTTGTTATCTGTCACCTTAATTTAGTTTCCTTCATATAAATAAAGACATTTCCTCCATAACTCCAGGAAATGTGTTCCTGATGCAGGAAATTAGCTGGTAAATACGCAAAGTCATTAATGTTGTAATATTTAGTTTCATCTTGTGGTTGAGATAGTGCGATAGATAGATAGACACTTAGATACTTAGTTCAGCTCACGTTTATTCACAGGTCCCCTCTGGTTTAATCGTTTCTGAGACACCGACTGTAACTAGAGACATCGCTCATTAATGTTAGCCTCCTCCACTGATTAACACGGCAACGAGCATTAAACACGCTGCTGAGCCTGGCAGTGAAAAACAGGAGGGTTAGCAAGTCTGGTCTCCGAAGAGGAAAAGTGACGAAGGCTACTTTTATTATTATTGAAGTCATTTAATAGACGTGACAAAAGACCAACTCACTGTGAACACTGAGTGTGAGCGCTACCAGGAGCTGCTCAGCTGATGTTTGTTCTGTGGTGCTGCAGTGTTGTTAACAGAGGAGCTGCAGTCGCCCTCTGGTGGGAAAACTACGCAGCACTCAGGACCTGAGGGACGGATCCGAAGTAGGCTATTTGTTACACAGTAAATTAAATGAACAGTATATAAAATCAGTAAAATAATATTAAAATGCTTCTTACATAGCAGGTAATACTGATAATACTTTTGACTTATAGCCATTCTGAAGGCAGGACTTTTACTTAACTGACCTAACAGAGCATTTCTAAATTGTTGTTGTATCTTAGTAAAATATTTTGAAGGTGAACAGCTGATCAATGTTTCACTCTGCAGAGCAAATATTGATCATTTGACCTCCTGAGCTGAGTGGTGTTGAACATGTTTAGCAGTACAACAGTTTAACAGACCCGGTCGACTCTCGTTTACCGTAAACGCCTCCTCCTCCTCCCTCCTCCCTCCTCCTCCTCCCTCCTCCTCCTCCCTCCTCTGAACTGAGTCGCTGCCAAAATCAATCAGCCAACATTTCAGCAGTTGAATTCCTCCCTCGTACCAGCACGTACACGGCACCTATGTGAAATCCTCCCAGCGTTTATGCAACATCTTTTTCTAAACAAACTCACAGCTCTAGTCAATCAAATTTATTTTGTATTTTTAAACATCGAATGTCTTTTCTGCTATTTTTCTCTCTGCAGTTAAGTTTTCAATCAAACGCAGATTTCCAGAAAATGCACATTAATGCTTGATTCCATACTCTACTGTGGATGTGGAACAGAAACAGTTTTGGTTTGTGATGGAAAACCTGTAATTCCTTCTTATTGAGCAGACAAAGCAAAGGAAAAAGAAAAATGCAGCCAAGGGCGTCACTGAAAGCTGGGGGACCTTTCAGCACAAAGTCACGCAGGGGCTCAGATTACGGGTGTGAAGAGGCGCTTAGCTCGCGAGACATCACGATACGCGATATTAGGTCCACGAGACAAGAAAGATCCTAAAACAGTGTTTTAAAGATGTCCTCAACGCTGAGACATATGAGCGGGGGGCCTAGGGGCCTCCCCCAGGAAACTTTGATCTTTAAACACTTCATTTCCTGCATTCTGGTGAAAGTTTCTGCACCAATTTATGGTGGAAATGTTTTTATTTATGTGAAAGGAAACAGCTGGCAGGTGACATGTTAAAAGTCAGTGCTGCTCTCAGATCTGTTTCTCCTGTAGATCAACTTTTCTCCTGTAACATCGTCCCTGCTGAGGCCTGATTCAGTCTTCACTCCTCTTGTGTTCATGTTCACAGGGAGAGAACGGAAAACTTGGCCAAAAAGAAACTGATCGGTGCTGCACATTTTTGGGTCATTTTATAATCAGCAGCTTGTTTTTGTTTTAGCAAATTATGCTTTAAAAAAGTGCTGGGGACATGTCCCCTGCGTCCCTATTGTAAATGACACCAGCTGAATTCAGCTACAGACGATGTCGCGCCTCTGAAAAGACAAAGTTTCCCTCTGAGATGATGGTCGGAGGAGAAGTAGAAAGTGGCATAAATTGGAAATACTGCAAAGTAAAGTGCCTCAAATTTGTATTTAAGTACAGTATTTGAGTAAATGTACTAGTTACTTTCCACCGCTAACGTCCGAGATACTGAAGCTCGAATGTGTGAACTTCTGAACGACTGCCGATGGTTTGAAACTCAAAAAAAAGTTCACAGGTGAGATTTAAAAGAAAAAGTAAAAGCTTTCTGATTGGATGTTTCTTCCAGCAATGCACTCTGGGACTTGTAGTTGGCTTGTCAGGTGAAGTTGTCATGGACACAGTCTTTTTATCAGTGAAGCAGAATTTTTTTGAGCTCCAGTGTCTCGGCAGGAAGTCTGGACGCTAAGCCCCGCCCAGTCCGATCTGTTCAGTTTCAACATGTCGACCCCTCCCTCCCCCGTCTCCCTCTCTCTCTCTCTCTCTCTCTCTCTCTACAGGTCACTGCCCTCTCTACCACCCCTCCTCTCTCCCTCTCTCCACATTCAGACTCCATTACTTCCACTCAGCACACTGAGGTTTTTCCAGCCGAGCTCGCCATCCACCGGGGCCATGTTTTGGGTTCACCGCCTGTCCCTCGGCCTCCTGCTGCTCCACCTGGCCACGGCTCACGTAGGTACGTTCGTTAACATGTAAACTTTTGTGGATGCTAAAGAGGAGAATAGTGAGGAAGACTATGGAGTAAAAGCAAGGTGGAAAAGAAGCACCACCATGTTGAGCGTGTGTGTGTGTTTTGGGTGGTGGTTGGCGGGGGGGTGTTGTGTGTTGATTGGTGGCTGACAGGTGACACATGACCCCGTTCCATTTTGTGTGTTCGTAATGTCAACAGATTTTGATTTCTTGATGACTGACAGCTCTTTCCTTCACTGAGACACCAACAGGAACCCGTCTTACTGGACAAACGAACCGTGATTGGTCGTCTTCTGTTTTAAAACCAGAATCTCATTTAAACTGAAAACGCTTTTCAGTCAAAATGTGACTTTGCAGAGTCGATAGTGATGAACAGAATGACCAACCCGTTCTCATCACAGGGCGTCACGTATGGACGCTTTTTAACGCCCCGGGTAACCTTTAGGGCTCCACGGTCAAGATAGCAAGAACAAATATGTAACGTCTGGTTAGACTTTCAAATAAACCTAGAGGTTAACGTTGTGAAACATTTCGGTTAGATTTAGGGCCTGTGTCCACCAAAGGAATTTTTAATGGGGCCAGTAAGTCGCTGCAATGGGAGCGCCGCGTGTTTACAATCTGGTAAAAACAGCAGCAGAGTGAAGTGGCGCTGAGCGTTTTTCTCCAGTCGCAGAGAGTTGAAAAATGTTTAACTATGGGTGAAACGCTGCACTCGTCACTGTCACTTTTTACCCAGCCCAACCCATGCTCAGGGACACATTGGTGAATGTGTGCAGAGGCAATCAAACCCAGGTCTCCAAGCACCAAAGGCATGTGTATAATCCACTGCACCATCCCCACCCCTAGTAGTACTTTCAACAATTCCGCTAAAGGGTGCCAGGTGTTTCGCTGCCAGACGCCTAAAGACGTGACGAAGCATAGCTATTAGATGCTCCGGTATGACCAAGAGTCATGATGCTAACGTGGCTAACTTTCAAACAGACAGTTTCTTTCCTTAAGGTGCCGAGTACAGCTAAACCTGAAACTAAATAAATAGTGTTTGAACATTTTCATTATACTTAATTATGGTTGAAGCCTTTGTTTTTGTGGGAAGCGATGAGTTTCCATCCACATTTCTGTTCTCTCACCAGTCTTCTTGGACGGCGAGGAGGCCAATCAGGTGCTGAAGCGGCAGAGACGAGCCAACAGCATTTTTGAGGAGTTTAAACCAGGCAACATGGAGAGGGAGTGTGTGGAGGAGCGCTGCAGCTGGGAGGAGGCGCGAGAGATCTTCGAAGACGTAGAAAAAACTGTACAGACCTCCTGCAACTACACACCAACACTGCTGTCGCACAAAATCCATCATAACAAGTCTCGAAGAAACAACCACATAACTTTGGGAAACCCTACTGTTTTACCCAGAATCAGACAACAAGATCGTAGCGTAGCTTAGCTTAAGCTACTTTAGCACAAAGGCTGGAAGCAGGGTGCTAGCATAGCTCCATTAAAACCTCTTCCAACAACTCCACAGTTGCCAGATTGACATTTGGATCTTCTTTATTGAACAAGTGTAGAAACAAGAGATTTCTGGTTTTTGGAACAGTTAGCATTGAAGCTAATTCTTGGATTTAGTTTGGACTTGCTAACAAACAACCACCAACATATAGAAAAGACACATTGAGTCTGTTTTTGCTGTTTAATTTTCCAAGTTTCGGATCCAAAAGCTCAAATAATTTGCATTAAACACTCTATAAAGCCAAAAAGCTTTAATCATTCTTCTCTGAGAAATACTGATCAGGTTTTAAGTTGGTTTGAGATATTTAATTCTCAGTTTTTCTTTTTTGCAGAATGAATTCTGGGCCAAATATGTTGGTAAGGCATTCGTTCTGTGTTGTCAAAATGACCACACTGACTAAGACTGGCAAATTAAGAAATTTAACACAGTAAAAATGTGTAACAAAGAATGTAAAAAAAAAGTTTAGTCTTCAAAGTTACGTCTCACTAAAATAGTGTGATTGAATCTGCTCTGTTTGTCCTGCAGATGGCGACGCATGTATCTCGTTACCCTGTGCTCATAATGGACTTTGCAAAGACGGAATCGGTGGCTACACCTGCTACTGCCAGACCGGGTACCAGGGCTTCAACTGTGAAATCGGTACAGAACTGAAGTCACTCTGGACAGTAGAGCTCAAGCTCAGTGTCCTTTAGAAAAACCCTGAATGTCCCAAAAGTTTGCTAGCAGTTAAACCTTTGTCTCCTGTATCTAACAAAACTTTATTTTCTCTGAGTTTTTGATGTTTTTGAAAGAGGAAGCCAATCTTTGCCTGATATAAGACCGATTTATCAACTTGTTACACACAATTTCCATCTTTAGTCGGACATTGCCTCCACACAAACTGATTTCCGTGTCGGAGGAGGGTTAGAGTTTCCCTTCCCAAGTTAGTCACAGTTTACGTTTAGTGCCAATGCAGGAAGTAGAATGTCCTTCATGTAGCGTTAAAGAGGTCAGGGTGTACAAGACCTCATCCCATTACAGACCTGCCATGCAGGGATATCATAGTGATTGTAGGAAACGTTGACATGAAATGTGTTCCAGGCTGAATTGTCCAATATTAATGTTCTTGTCCGGCAGCAGGGTTTGCTACCTGGTGGGTAGTCCGGTAGTCCTTCCGGTCTTGGTCTTGACAGTGTTTCCTTTGTTTTTGCAGTTATTCCTGAACTGTGTGAGAACAAAAATGGCGGCTGCCAACACTTCTGCAACGTAGTCCGAGGAAACGCACGGTGCTCCTGCGCTAACGGATATTTCCTGGCGTCAGATTACAAGAGCTGCCACTCCAATGGTGAGGGAGACTCGAGAGTCTAAATGGTCTTTCACTGGTCTCACTATGGTCGAGTGCCATGTTGTTTCTTAGACACCACAGGTCCTATTTAGAGAATATTTTCAGCAAATTAAAGAGTGGTGAGAACTAATGACACTCCGGCTTCCTCCCACCGTCCAAAGACATGCGGCCTAGGTTAACTGGTGACCTTGAATTGTCTTTAGGTGTGAGTGTGACTGATTGTTTGTCTATATGTGGCCCTGCGATGGACTGGCGACCTGTCCAGGGTGTACCACGCCTTTTTCCCAGTGTCAGCTGGGATTGGCTCCAGCCCGCACGACCCTGTAGGCAGGATAAGCGGTTGGCGATAGATGGATGGATGGAGGCCTAATGACTGTCTAACATGATCAAAACCAATATACCACCATAACTTCTCATTCTTTGACCAAAGCCATGGTCTTCAGGTGAAGACTAAAGACTTTGGTGACCCTCCAACCTTTACTGTAGCACCACCATCAGGACAAAATTTCCACTTGTACACAAGAAGTATCAGAATCTAATCGCTGTTCTTTTTTCAGAATCAAATCCAGCATGGCTCTTTCAGTGATTCAACATTTTCGTGTACAAGTCCTGATCTCTAAATCTCACACAAACTCTTGCAGAGACCTTCAAGTGTGGCGCCATCATCACCGGAATGACCCGGACTGTTTTCAGGTACGAGCGGACAAATGCGACGGACGGGAACGCTAACAACAACTCCACAAAGCCGAAGGATGTGTCGGACGCAGTTCATCAGTCAGACTCCTCACTTTCTAAGAATAGCAACAACAGCCAGATTCTGCCAAAATCCATGCTTTTAGAGGCCTTAATCACCTCTCAAATGGCGAGTATGACCCGCATCGTCGGCGGAGAGGACTGTCCACCAGGAGAATGCCCATGGCAGGTAGATCTTTTGCGATAATGAGATACCCTTATATTAAAAAAGGATAGGGAGGTAAAGGCTGAGGTGTTACCTTTGACACACCTGAGAGTCCATTACTGTCTGATCAAGTCCATCAGTGTTTCCCCTATATTCATTCAGGAGTGACGGGGCGCCGCTGCTGAATTATAACCGCCAATCCTACAATTTCCCACGATCATGAATCAGTGCGCTACTAATGTTTTCACTCGCACATTGTGCGGACACGGTAACACTTAATTCAATTCAATTTTATTTATATAGCGCCAAATCACAACAACAGTTATCTCACAGCGCTTTTCATAAAAGAGCAGGTCTAGACCGTACTCTGTGATGATATTTACAGAAGCCCAACAGTTCCCACCAAGAGCAAGCACTAGGCGACAGAGGCAAGGAAAAACTTCCTTTAAGAGGCAGAAACCTCGAGCAGAACCATGGTTCAGGGTGGGCGGCCATCTTCCTCGACCGGTTGGGGTGAGAGAGAGAGAGAGAGAGAGAGATGTAAGGAGAGAGAGATGTAAGGAGAGAGAGGGGAGGGAGGCAGCCTACACAATATACACACAGAGGTACACACAGTGAAGGTAATGTTGCTATAGACTAAATGAAAAATGGTACAGATATTTAATAGTGTTAATGGTAACCATCGTAATGTTAATGATTATAATAACAATAATAACAATAAGACTAGCAACAATAGTCGTTGCAGCAGAGGGTGTCAAGCAGGAACACGGGGGCAGCAGGTGACCCGCAACCACAGATCCAGACTCCACAGCTCCAGAGCCAGAAAACCTGCAGGAAGTGATAGGAGGAGAGAGGAGAGAGACGAGAAAGCACAAGACTACCAGAAAGGGGAGAAGTTGTGTTAGTAACATGCAATAATGGGATAAGGTTGCATACAGAGGGAGAGAAAGTAGAGGAGAGAGGAGCTCAGTGCATCATGGGAAATCCCCCGGCAGTCTAGGCCTATAGCAGCATAACTAAGGGATGGTTCAGGACTACCTGAGCCAGCCCTAACTATAAGCTTTATCAAAGAGGAAAGTCTTAAGCCTACTCTTAAATGTGGAGATGGTGTCTGCCTCCTGAACCCAAACTGGAACCTGGTTCCACAGGAGAGGAGCTTGATAGCTGAACGCTCTGGCTCCTAGTCTACTTTTGGAGACTCTAGGAACCACAAGTAACCCTGCATTCTGGGAGCGCAGTGCTCTGGTGGGGTAGTAAGGTACTATGAGCTCTTTAAGATAAGATGGTGCCTGACCATTAAGAGCTTTGTAGGTAAGAAGAATGATTTTAAATTCTATTCTGGATTTTACTGGAAGCCAATGCAGAGAAGCTAAAACAGGAGAAATGTGATCTCTTTTCCTGGTTCCTGTCAGAACACGTGCTGCAGCATTCTGGATCAGCTGAAGAGTCTTAACGGACTTTTTTGAGCAGCCTGATAATAAGGAATTGCAGTAATCCAGCCTAGAAGTAACAAATGCATGGACTAGTTTTTCTGCATCATTTTTAGACAGGATGTTCCTGATTTTCGCAATATTACGTAGGTGAAAAAAGGCGGTCCTTGAAATTTGCTTAATGTGAGACTTAAACGACATGTCCTGATCAAAGATAACTCCAAGATTCCTCACAGTGGTGCTGGAGGCCAGGGCGATGCCATCCAGGGAAACTATATCTTTAGATAATGCGTCACGGAAGTGCTTAGGCCCCAGAGCAATAACTTCAGTTTTATCTGAGTTTAACATGAGAAAATTACAGGTCATCAAGGTTTTAACATCCTGAAGGCACATTTGAAGTTTAGCTAACTGATGAGTTTCATCTGGCTTGATCGATAGATATAACTGAGTATCATCTGCATAACAATGAAAGCTTATGGAATGTTTCCTGATAATATTGCCTAAAGGAAGCATATATAAAGTGAAGAGGATTGGTCCAAGGACAGATCCTTGAGGAACTCCATGAGTAACTTTGGCGTGCATGGAGGACTCATCGTTAACATGTACAAACTGAAATCGATCTGATAAATAGGACTTAAACCAGCTTAGAGCGGTTCCTTTAATGCCAATGAAATATTCCAGTCTCTGCAATAGGGTCTGATGGTCAATGGTATCAAATGCAGCACTAAGATCTAATAAAACCAGTACAGAGACAAGTCCTTTTTCTGATGCAATAAGGAGGTCATTAGTAATTTTCACCAGTGCTGTCTCTGTGCTATGATGAGCTCTAAATCCTGACTGAAAATCCTCAAATAAGTCCGGCTCCGCACCTTGGTAGATCAGTCTTTAGCTACTGTAGCTAGCCAGTCCCCGGTAGTCGGTGCGGAACGGCCTGAGTTAGCCTCTGGTAGCCGTCCTCCGGCATCCCCTGTGCAGCCAGGAAAGGGGGGCTGGGTGACTGTCCGAAGGAGGAATAGTCGTAAGCATTCAAAGTCCACGGGGCATCATCAACCTGTTCACGTTTCTAACAGACTTTCCCCACTCAGCGACACACCCGCTGAGAAACCAACTCTGATCACTGGCAGCTCCATTTTGAGAAACGTGAAGTTAGCGAAGCCAGCGGCCATAGTTAAGTGCATCCCTGGGGCCAGAGTGGGCGACAGCTTCCTCTCCCCGTCATCTGAGAGGAGAGGAGGAAAATATTCTGCCAGTAAATGTATTATAATAATAATAATAATAATAACTTTGATTTATGGAGTCTGTCAGTAGCCTTGCTGGGCAGACCGAACAGGATACCGTTACAATAGTCAAGTTGGGAGGTGATGAAGGAGTGGATGAGGGTCTCAGCTACAGAGTTGGAGAGGCACTGTCGGAGTCTGGAGATGGTAAAAGGCAGTTTTAGTAGTGTTTTTGATGTGCTGTTGGAAGGAGAGGGTGGAGTCCATGAGGACGCCCAGGTTGCGTGCTTGAGGGGATGCAGAGATTGAGCAGCCATCCACGTCCAGTGTGATGTCACCAACCTTTTTGAGAAGTAACTGTGGTGCAAACACCACGAGTTCTGTTTCGTCTTTATTGAGTTTGAGGAGGTTACTGTCCATCCAGTTGTTGATGTTCTTCAGGCAGTTGATAAGCGGCACTGGTGGAAGGGGAGTAGATGACTTAGCAGAAAGTGACAGCAGCTTCTTCTTATTGACTGAAAGGTAGATTATGCCTCAAAATGACTTTTTATTCAGAAGAGTTATATTGGACAGATTATAAAACCGAAATGATCTCCTTTTTTTATTTCATATATAACAACATTATATTATTTAATGACAAACCAAAAATGTCCCCAGTTTTCATTTCAGAAATCTGGTCACCTTACTGAACAGGAAAGCTGATAGTAGAATAACTTTGTCTTTTGGTAGTAATTAAGTAACATAACAGCTGCATTTCAGCTGGTGTTAAAGCGTTAAATCTCATTTTTACACACCAACCCGAGTGTGAAAATGTTGAACATCAGGTACAAGCTTAGACTAATCTGGTGTAGCCTACAGCTCCGTCCTGCACACAGACTGTCCATTATTATCCAGGTGTCCACTCTACATGGACACTTTGCAGTCCATTAGACATCTGAAGATACCTGGAAGTCCATAATTGCAGAGTCAGTGTGATAATAGCAGTTTTTTCCCCGCTCGTCCTCTCAGGCTCTCCTCTTGAATGAAGACGATCAAGGCTTCTGTGGAGGAACCATCCTGAATGAATACATCATCCTGACCGCCGCACACTGCATGAACCAATCACGCTACATCTACATCAAGCTCGGTGGGTCTCTGAATCACATGCAGCTCTGATTATTAGATATTATTAGCTTGTGTAGGATTTTTGTAAATATAAGGGATTGTACTAAACAACATTATGGTTGTGTATGGGCTATACAGCTATTATTTTAGTTACAGATCTGATTTGTGATTATGAGGTTATATATAATTTGCTTATTTATTTTCATAAATTTGAAATACTTCTTTTGAGATTATCATGACAGTAATTTTAAGATACGTTTTTCAAAATACGAGATACAGATCTACTTTGTAATTATGACACTGTAACACTGTAATAACGAGGGGCCGAATGTAATTAGATAATAATGTAATAATGTGATAATGTGATAATGTGTTTACCTGTTTGGAATAATTTAGCTTATTCTGTATTGACAGCATTAATAACTACTAAAGTGCATTTTTCTTTCTTTAAAGCACCTTAAAACATTTAATTAAAGGTGCCTTAATATAGAAAGAAGAAGAAGACATTTTTAGTTATGACTTAATTTATAAAATTTTTTATACTTTCACATTTTAGATTTGCTTTTATACTTAAAGAAAGTTGAGCTGCTGCATTTCCTATATAAAAGGTGTTGTTATAATTGTCTACAGCGGTTAATCCTGAAGTTTCTCTACTAAAATACTTTTTTATTTCTGTGTATTCAGGTGAGTTCGACGTGTTGGTGGATCACGGTAATGAAGCTACTCACAATGTGGAAACTATTATGACCCACAATAAATACAGACCAGACACCTACCACAACGACATTGCACTCATCAAACTGGCCACGCCCATCAAGTTCACCAGGTACATCCTGCCAGCCTGCTTACCTGAGCAAGATTTTGCTGAAAAGGTAAACTTTTAAACCAGTCAAGTTCTATATTTTAGAATGTATATTTGCTTTCTCCCTGAGCATTAGACGAGAAGATTGATCTCGTGTCTGTAAGGTAAATTGAAATCTACAGCCAGCAGCTGTTTAGCTCAGCTCATCATGAAGAATGGAAACAGCTGACCTGGCTCTGCCAAAGGTGACAAACTCCACCTTCCAGCACTTCTGAACTTCTTCTTCGTCTTTTGTTTAAATAATACACACAAACTATTTCTTGGCTCTGTGCCAGGCAACCAGCGCAGACGTCAGGAAGTTACTGGTCCGGGCCAAGAAATAGTCCAGCACATAATCGTTTTCACACTCGGGTTGTTGTGTAAAAATGAGATTTAACGCTTTAACAAAAAAATTTCCAAGGTGCTGGTAGACGGAGCCAGGCTAGCTGTTTCCAGTGCTTATGCTAAGCTAAGCTAACCTGCTGTTTATATTTATCTTACAGACAGTTATTAGCGTGGTTTTGATCTTCTCATCTAACTCTCTGCAAGAATGTGAATAAGCACATTTCCCTATGTGTTACATTTCTCGCCTCCTCTTGCAGGTGCTGATGAAGCAGCAGGACGGCATGGTCAGCGGTTTCGGCCGTCTCGGCGAGGGTCGGCAGCCGTCCACCATCTTGCAGCGCCTCACCATGCCCTACGTGGATCGGCTCACCTGCATGGAATCCACCCAGTTGCGCATCTCTACTCGCATGTTCTGCGCCGGCTACGACACAATAGCCAAGGACGCCTGCCAAGGTGACAGCGGCGGGCCGCACGTCACTCGCTACCAGAGCACCTATTTCGTCACCGGCATCGTGAGCTGGGGCGAAGGCTGCGCACGCAAAGGCAAATACGGAGTCTACACCCAGGTGTCCAAGTACATCAGCTGGATCCAGGAAGGCATGAAGAAGCTAATGCCCAAAGAGAAGAGTGGCAGGAGGGTGAAGAGGCACCACGGCCCCATCAAGAGGCTGTTTCTGTAAGACGGCGGATTTCATCACGGCGAAGTCCACTGAGCAGAGCCACACATTGTTCTTCTTATGTAATCATTGATTTTATGTTTGAGACTTCTACACAGTCACATTTCTGCCACAGACATTGTCATAATTTAACATTTATCACTGATTTAAAGACATTACTGAAATTCTTAAAGCTGCATTAATGAATTTTTCTTGCCACTTGCAGGCAGCAGAATAGCCTGTAAAAACTACTTTATAAAGAAGTTGTGTCTGACATATTAGCAACCAGCTGCCTACGTCCACACCCAGCAGACACAGAGCAACACGATCTTCTCATTGAGATTGTTCATTATTACTTGTGGGGTTCCTCAGGGATCAATTCTTGGTCCTTCATATTTTCTACTTGGTTAAAGCTGCAATAATGCCTTTTTTTGTTCAAATGAGGCAGCAGACCAAACTGTAAACATGTTCATCTCATCTGATTAAAGTCTAATATTGACTCTCTTTTAGCTCCGTTTTTGGTCTCCACCATCTGAACAGTCTCTAAGTCTGTCTGCTGTTTGCTGATGGAAACAGTTTCAGTAATAGAAAAAAATATGTCAGCACAGTTTGGACCAGGAGGAACTGAAATTAAAATTGAACTGAAATTATGTAAACAAAACAAGTTTTGATGTATTTTTTATTACTCACTGTCAGAAATTTGCTTTTTAAACTGAATTAAAAGCAAATAAAGAAATATTACAACAGTCTGATGCATGAAGTTTTTGTGTGATTAAAACTATAATATTACAAAATGTATTTACTTTTTCAGTTTATCTGAAGGAGTGTTTGTTTTTACAGTTTAAGTGGTCGGTACAATGCAAAAATATACTTTTCCTTTTTGGTTATCGCGTTAAATTTATAATTTTTTTTTTACGGTTTTGGAATCTGTACATTTTATTGTAACTTAAAAATATAAATATCTATACTTTTATGTTTTTCTTTGTCATGTGACTTTCTATTGTTTCACCATCAAAGTTAATTCTCAACCTAAAACAACAAGTCATTGTCAGAAATGAATCATCAACTATTGGTGATAATCAATTATTTTCAGTCATTGATTCTCAGGTTCCAGCTTTTCTAATGTCTCTGATGTTCTGCTTTTGTGTTATATCAGTGCACTGAATACCTTTGGGGTTTGGACGGTCGGTCAACCAAAAAAATCTGAATACGTCAACTTGGGCTCTGGGAACTTGTCATGTTCTGACAGTTTTTAGATTAAATTACAAGTCGATTAATTAGAAAATCTTACAAGAATATGAAATCACTCATGAAACAAAAAAAAGACGTCGCTTTGGACTCAAAGTCAATTTTATATTTTTTTTAATATATTTTTTATCAATGAATCCTTAAAGTAAATGGTAAATTACTCAATAATTAAAATAATTGTTTGTTGCAGCTAAATTGGAAATCGCCAGCTGACTGAAGGAGTCTCCTAATCGAAGCTAATGTTAGCCAATGCTAATGGTGAACATAACACCTGGTGAGCATGTTAGCATTTAGCTCAGCCTTACAGAGCTGCTAGCTTGACGGGAGGCTCTCAGTCTTTGTTAGGAACTACACAGATCAGGACGTCTACATTTCCTGGAAACTCCAGGTCGATTATGACTCAGGGAAATTATTATGGCTTAACCCCTAAAACTTTCTTTTTGCAAGGCGACTTTCAGAACAATTTAATCCCCTAACGCCCCCGGCACTGTGTCCAGCTTCATTTCTCGTCATGTTCTTTCCTTCTTCTGATGAAATCCCTCCTTGTTTACCTCAAATAAACAAACCTACTGAATATTGAAGTTTCAGAGGTCGGACCTGCTGCTTGTTTTGTGTGGTTTGAGGACATGAGAGAGAGGACAGGCCAGAGTCCACGGTGGGAACACACTGTTTACAGAGAACAGTTTATTTTATACTTTTAACTCTTTATGGAAAGAGATCCGACCTGCGCAGGTGAAAATCAGACTCGTGCGAAAAGAGCTTTAAAAGACGTGTAAGATAAGATGTATAACCGCAGCACAAGTTCACCTATAAACTATAAATGACATATAGCTTCTACATTTGATTAAATTTGTAATGGAGTTTTGTTGAAGCTTTTCCAAAAATGATATTTTTATAATTAGCGTTGCAGACTCTTTAATGTTATGACTTCAGATTTAAGGTTACGTCATGTCACTTGTTTAATGAATGAGTTGTGACTCATCTGTGTGTGTGTGTGTGTGTGGGAGTGAAGTCAGTGTCATGGCGGTCAGCATCATGGCGGCTTGTTGTCGAGCGTCTGTTCTGTCTCTCTCCCTCCTTGCCTGCTTCCTTCAGGTCGTCATCCATGGACAAGGTAAGACCTCTGAACTCTGCGGTCTTTAGTTTCGGCCTGTCGGCTCAGTTTTGTTTGTTTAAAGTCAGATTTCAAAAGATTTTAAACAAACAACCAAGTCACCAATCAAGCAGGAAACAGTTAAATCCAACAGCTGATATTAAAAGTTAAACTTTTAAATGTTTAACATTAAACGTATGAAATGTATGGTGGTCTATTTGTGCCAAAAATATGTTGAACGCAAATCATGTAACAGACTGTTTTTCACCTCTGCTGCACCCAGTGTGTCGTAATTATGACTTAGAGACAATTAGCACTTCTTATGGGAACATTAAGTGTACATTTTACTATGTAATGAGTACTTTTACTTTGACACTTTAAGTAGATTTGACCTGATTATAACTGCAGGACTATTTTTACATTGAGTGGTACTTTTCATGAAGTAAAAGATCTGAAGAATACTTCTTCCATCACTGGCCATAATAATGAAAGTTAATTCTAAATTACATATCAAACAGTTCACAGTAACAACATATGTCATAATTATGATTTTGCTTGAGATATGACAATAAATCACAACAAATTATCAAATCGTATAAAATGTTTCTGTAGTTACGACTTTGAATGTCTTATTCTGATTTACTAAGTTGTAGTTATTGGACCTGTTGTGTTTTCAGTGTTTCAGGCTCCTCAGACCCACGATGTGTTCCTGCGGTCCAAACGGGCCAACATGTTCCTGCTGGAGGAGATCCTGCAGGGGAACCTGGAGCGCGAGTGTTACGAGGAGCTGTGCAACTACGAGGAGGCCCGCGAGTACTTCGAGGACAACGCCAAGACGGTCAGACTCTCCCCAATAATGATCACAATTATCAGTGACGCGCATGAATTTTGGCTGTTAAGATGATGTTTCGTTAAGAACAAGATGATTTTCTCTCATTTTACCTTTTGCCCTCAAAATGAAAAAGTATTTGGAGAAGCAGGAACCTGTTTCTGTTTGTTTCTCTTCAGTACGCCTTCTGGACTGTTTACCAAGGTGAGATCCCTTTCACATTAAATCAAAAGGTTTTAATTAATGGAAACTGGAAAAATATACTTTTAATTCTTATTTTACAAATTAATAAATGTGATTTCTGAGATGCAGTGCTTGTAATGGCCAGATTATTTATCACTACGCATGAGTCATTTGATGTTTATTTTTTCGTTAATTTCTTTTCATTACTTATACACAGATTTTTAGTAAAATAGTGCTATAAACTAAATAATAAAAACAAACAAATCTAGAAATCTAGAAATTACTTCCACGTTTTTTTTAAAAGTACATAATTTACTGTAACCTCAGGTTTTCACAGCCTGGTGGAAGAAGTACTCAGATACTTCAGTAAAAGTAGTAATAACACAGAAATACTCTGTTACAAGTAAACATCTTGCAGACAAAACTGCAAAATTATTAGTATCAAATTTACTTAATTTACCAAAAGTAAAAGTACACATAATGCAGAACGGCCCATTTCAGAAAAATAAACTATATTATTAAGTTATAATTACTAATGAATTAATATGGTCATCACTTTAGTGTAAAAGCTTATTTTAAAGACTTTACAAACTGCTGGGTAGATTTAACCTGTAATAATACGTCATCATTTATTAGTTAATTTATATTTTGTGTAAATAATCTGAATCTAAACTAGTAACTAAAGCGGTCAGACAAATGTAGAGCAGTAAGAAGCACATCTCCCTCAGAGATGAAGTGGAGTGTTACTATAAAGCACCATAAAATGGAGTGTAAGTACAAGTTCCTCTCAATCGTACTGAAGTTCCTGCCCGGAGATATTTTCTTGACATTTTATAGAAAACACAGGGTTTCTTTATTTTTATTTCTCAAACGTTAGTTTGTTTATTCGTCGTCTGATCAGCCTCTGTGTCTCTGAGCAGATGGGGACCAGTGTCAGCCCAACCCCTGCCTCCACGGGGGGAACTGCACCGACAAGGTGGGGGGGTTCCACTGCTCCTGCACCGCCCCCCACCACGGACCCCTCTGTGAACTGGGAGCACCGCACAAGCCGGAGGGTCACGTGACCTCCGCGCCACAAATCATCAGAGGTTTGACCACACCCACAGCCAAGCGTAGCCCCGCCCCCAAAGAGGGGCGTAGCCTGTAGACCAAAACTTGTGGTGCACTCAGGGGATCCTCAGTTTCCCCAGTTTATTCATTCTGGTGACGTTTTCAGACCTGTGGCGTAACTATCCATCGTATCCGTGGCGACACTTTACATCACATCCCTGAAACGTGATTTTTTTTTTTTACTTTAGCTACTTCTGTCCATTTCAGAAATCTCCGAGTGTCCGACTGACGGTCCAAAAGCTTGTCACCAGATGTGCACGGTGTCCCACCACACCATCACCTTCACCTGCTCCTGCGTGTCAGGATTCAAACTACAGACTGACGGACGCAGCTGCCTGCCTGAAGGTCTGACCCCCCCACCACACCAACCATGTTTACTAAACCAGCTCAAACCGGTGAAATAACAAAGGCTTTGTGTCCTCAGTGGAGTTTCCCTGTGGACGACTTCCTGGCAAGTTCAACACGACCGCCTCTGTATGTCACCATGGAAACTGTCCCTGGCAGGTAAGATCCTCTCAGCCAATCACAGGAAGGCACCTCGCTCAGCTAGAGTTGTTTTAATATGGAGTTAATTTTGTTTCATCATTTGTGTGAATTGATCAGCAATCTGCGTGTAAATGTGTAAGCTCTAAAAATAAAACCCTTTCCACAAACACAAAAAGAAATAAAAAACAGATCTGCAAATACACAAACAAATTCCACAAATAAAAAAATATCTGTAAATATATTAAATTCATTTATAAATTGTTGAAAATCATTTGTGAATATCTTCCTAAAATTTACAACTTTCGAACAGGCATTTGTGAGGCCCGCTTGTATTTGTCGATCTCGGTTCTACATACTCGGAGGTTTGAAACAAGCTTTCCCGCCGGTGGAATGAAAATAGATTCGTGTCACGCAGATTTTTTTTTTTTTTGTGGAATTTGTTTGTGTATTTGCATATCTGTTTAATATTTGCAAAATATTTTTGTGAGTTTACAAATCTTCTTTTTGTGTTTGTGGAAAGTGTTTTGTTCTTACAGATTACACATTTACACACGGATTGCTGATTTGTTCACAAATAATATTGAAACCAAAAAACCTCCATATTTAAAGTTTAATTTATTTCTGAGCAGTGATTCCTGTAAAACGTTCCAAGAGGATTAACGCTCCTTCTGGCCCAAACTAAGAAAGCACTACTAACATCTACATAACAATAATCAGCTCTTCTCCACATGCTGTCCCGTTTCTTACCCGAGTCCTTCTATGTTTGGCAAATCAGTATCATCTCTTGTGACCTTATATGT